ATTTTTCGAATTTTTTACCTTCATAATCATTTTTTATTTCAATCTTCAAGCCTAATTTTGCAATTCTCTTCCTCGTCTTCCAAAATCTCTTAAGTTTTTTGAACATTAAAAAAAAAACTTTCCTAAATTTATAAAAAATACCCATATTCGGAATTTCTTATGTTCATAAACATTTTCTTTTCCATTTCCAAGCCTAATTTTGAAATTTTTTACCTCGGTTTTGCCAAATTTATTAGCGAAAAAACTTTCCTAAATTTATACAAAATAACACATTTTCGATATAAACTTGCAACTCGGGTTAAAAAAGACTCTAAATGAATCAAAATAAACAAAAACAACGCATTTCAGAACTAATCTTAAAATTTTGAGTCTGTTTAGTAAAATATTTTACATATTCTGACTTTTGCGGCAAAAACTTTCTAAAATTTATTGAAAATATTAAACTTTAGTTTAATCAACCTAAATCTAAATCAAAGTATTACAACAATATAATGGCTTAGATAATAGTTTTCTTCCAAAATAAAACAATTTGAGCTATTTTCAATCCAATTTTGCTCGATTTTAATACAGAATTAATTCAAAACTTATGTTTTTTAATGAAATAATTGCTTCAATTCCAATTTTAGGCTGAAATAAAACAATTTGAGCTATTTTCAATTCAATTTTGCTCGATTTTAATACAGATTTTAATACAGAATTTCAAATTTTGAAATTTTTTACCTTCACTTGAAACATACTTCGAACCCAGTAAGTTTTTTGGTGAAAAATGGTCTAAATTTATAAAAATAGATAAGTCAACGGATTTCCAAATATAGTTTTGCAATTTTTTTATCTTGTTTCAAATTTTGTGAGTTTTTAGATGAAGATACCTACTCAGTTATAATACCAAGAGTAGTAAAAAATTGTCGAATATTTTTATACTAAAATAAAACTAAAATAAAAACCCATTTTTGATATCAATTTTCTCACAAAAAATTCACGAAATCAGTTAAAATAAGCACAATTTACGCATTTTGAAACTAAATTTGCATATTTTTCTTGTTTTATCATAAAAAATAACGAACTTTAGACCGAATCTAAGAAATTTTCAATTTCATTTTGACAAAAAAGTTTTCAAATTCAGTAAGTTTCTACGTGAAATTTACAAAAACAGCAAAAATGGCGCATTTTCAGATCTAATCTTCTATATTATTATGTTTAAATTTCTTGAAATTAGTATTTCTTTTTAGTAAAAAGCTTTCTAAATCTAGCAAATTTAGCAAACATCAATCACACAAGAACGCATTTTGCAATTTTTAGTAGGTGTAATTTTAGCAAAATGTTCCAAATTTCGTCACCTTTGTGGTAAAGAAATCATAAAAAAACGCATTTTAAACCTGACTATTTTTTTTACCTTCATTGGTAAACATTTAAATTCTCCAAATTTACCAAAAATAAGTAAAATGCATGCATTTCCAAATCTTGCAAATCTTGCAATTTGCTACCTATTTTAGAGGGTTTTTGCTTTTCTTTTTTCTTGTTCTCGATTTTTTACCCTTTCGAGAATAATTTCGGAGGTCAGTCCCGTCCCGGAAGCCTAAAATGCGGTGTATTCCGGGTGAAAAATGGACCTGATGCGTGTAGCCGAATAAATGGACGCCATTAGCGTGCGGCTGAGAAATAATGAGAGCTGTGCTCTGATCGGATGTGCTTCCCCAAAAACAAACCACTTTAACGTCATCCGATTTATGCTATTAGTCGCTTCCATTGCGGCAAGATGAATATCGATGATAATGGGGACAAAGCGGCCTTCGCGAATCGAAGGGACGCTAATTGAAAAGCCCCCCTCCCTATTTTTTCACGAATTTAGCCCAATTAATAAAACAAACAACAGACAGGTTATTAAAAATGATTTAATCAAACAAAATGGGCAAATAGTAGCGAGCGAGCTTTTAATTATGCATCAGTTGGTAGTTAATTACGTTAAAACGTCATCGGACATTCAATATTCATCACACGAAAGCGAATCGATTGCTCCTTCAGGTGGAGATTTGGACCGGGAGGGACAACACGGACGCCCCTATGCGATATTGGCCCCTATTAAACCGATTTACATTCACTGATATCTCATGAACGACAAAGGGCAAGCCACTGATATCTCACACTCTTCTATTTGCTCAACAAGGGCGGAAAAGACAAGGTTTTGGAAGGAAATGCATCAGAAACTTGACCTGACTTGATATGACTAAAAAATAAGAAAAAAATACTTATTTAGTTCTGTATTATTTCTTGTTCAAAAAAAAATTTAAAAAAATTAAGTAAAAAACTTCTTACAACTTAAAAATCTAGTAAAGAAATTTGAAAATTTCAAGTTGAGTGAGAAACCTGACCTGACTAGACTTGACTGAGGAATAAGATAAATAACTCATCATAAAATGAAATAACTATTTAAGTAAAAAACTTTTTTCTAACTTAAAATCCTAGAAAAGAGATTAGAAAAATGTAAGTTTAGTGGACAACAAAACAATCAAAAACTCAGCTAAACAGATATTTCAAGAAAATTAATTAATCACCAGTTAGAAGTTAAAAAAATAGGGCAAAATTTGATTGTATTAACTAAAACATTATAATAAGATATCCGAAATTTTGAATTCTTATAATTAAATGTTTAGTTTAGAGTAAACACTTAGTAACACATTTTCGATGCGTACTAAATCAGACAAAATTTCGAAATTAATTTTGCTACTTTCTGTTTTGTTTTAGCAAAATAAATATAAGTATCAAATTTTGAAATTTTTGCAACATTAAAATATTTAAGTAAAAAACATTTTTCTAGCCTAAAAACCTGGGAAAGAAATTAGAAATACTCAAGTTTTGTGAAAAACTTTACTTGACCTGACTTGACTGAGAAATAACTTAGRCACTTATTTCTTATTTTTAAAAAGAAATAAATAAATATTTAAGTAAAAAATCTAGAAAAAAAAAACAATTAAAAACTCAGCTAACTGAAACACCACCAGTTCGAAGTTAATAAAATAGGGCAAAATTTGATTGAAATACGAAATTTCGCATTCTTATAATTAAATTTGAAACACTCCTAAATAACATATTTTTGATATAAATTTTCTTTAAAAAAGCGTACTAAATCAGTCAAAATTTCGGAACAAATTTTGCTATTTTCTGTCTTCTTTTAGCAAAATATATCAAATTTTGTAACTTTTGCAACAAAGAAACTCTATAATTCATTGCAAATAACCCATTTTAAAATATTTAAGCAAAAAACATCTTTCTAGATAAAAACCTGGAAAAGAAAGGAGAAAAACTCAAGTTTAGTGAAAAATCTTACTTGATCTGACTTGACTTAGAAATAAGACAAACTTAGTAATTTATTTCTTCTTTTTAAAAAGAAATAAATAAATATTCAAGTAAAAAACCTCATTTTAACTTAAAAACCTAAAAAAAAAAGTTAGAAAAATGCAAGTTTACTGAAAAAATCTAAAAAAAAAACAATCAAAAACTCATTTAACTGAAACACCACCAGTTAAAAAAAGAAGTTAAAAAAATAGGGCAAAATTTGATTCAATTACCAAAACATTGTAATGACATATCCGAAATTTCGCATTCTTATAATTAAATTTTTAGTTAGAGTAAACACTCTCCTAAAAAACACATTTTTGATATAAATTTTCTTTAAAAAGGCGTACTAAATCAGACAAAATTTCGGAACTAATTTTGCTGTTTTCTGTCTTATTTTAGCAAAATATATCAAATTTTGTGACTTTTGCAACAAAGAAACTCTATTTAATTCATTAAAAATAACCCACTTTAGAATATTTAAATAAAAAAACATCTATCTAGTTTAAAAACCTAGAAAAGAAATTAGAGAAACTCAAGTTTAATGAAAAACTTTACTTGACCTGACTTGAAAGAGAAATAAGATAAACTTAGTCATTTATTTCTTGTCCTTAAAAGAAACAAATAAATATTTAAGTAAAAAACCTCATTCTAACTTAAAAACCTAGAAAAGAAATTAGAAAAATGCAAGTTTAGTAGAAAAATCTAAAAAAACACTCAAAAACTCAGATTTTTTAAAAAAGCGCACTAAAACAGTTAAAATTTCGAAATTAATTTTGCTATTTTCTGTCTTTTTCTGTCGCAAAAATATATCAAATTTTGTGACTTTTGCAATAAATAAACTCTATTGAATTCATTGAAAATAACCACTTTAGAATATTTAAATAAAAAACATCTTTCTAGATTAAAAACCTAGAAAAGAAATGAGAAAAACACAAGTTTAATGAAAAACCTTACTTGACCTGACTTGAATGAGAAATAAGATAAACTTAGTCATTTATTTCTTGTCCTTAAAAAGAATTAAATAACTATTTAAGTAAAAAACCTCATTCTAACTCAAAAACCTAAAAAAGAAGTTAGAAAAATGAAAGTTTAGTGGGGAAATCTAAAAAACAATTAAAAACTCAGTTTTTTTAAAAAAGCGAACTAAAACCGTCAAAATTTCGAAATTAATTTTGCTATTTTCTGTCTTTTCTGTCGCAAAATATATCAAATTTTGTGACTTTTGCAATAAAAAAAACTCCATTTAATTAATTGAAAATAACGCACTTTAGAATATACAAAAACACATCTTTCATGTTCATTAAAAAATAAAAAATTAGGTAAAAAACCTCTATGTAGGTATGTAACTGAAAACTCAAAAAAGTTAGAAAATCCTAAGTTTCGTGAAAAATCTGACTTGAGTGATAAAATAAATAAACTTTTTGTTTGTTACGAAAAACAAATAAATAAAAGTCCAAATGATAAAACTTTTTCTAATTTAAAAACCTAGAAAATAAGAAGTTAAATAATTAAAGTTTAGTGAAAAACCTGACCTCTGACTGACAAATTCTCAATCACTTGATTGTTGAGTTAGAAAAACTCAAGTAACCTGAAAATATCCATGGAAAACTAGATAAATAACGAATTGACCCCTCCCTATCAATATCCCCGTGAAGTGCACCAACCTGCAACAGTGAGGGTCGCATTCCTGCTCCTAGCCTTCCCTAGGGCATTGCTAGCCTCGCACCAGTACACTCCAGCATCCGATTCCTTCCTGCTTTGCACCACTCGCAAGAAGAACAAATTTCCAGCAGGTAGCAGGACTCGATGCGATCTTGCATCCTGCGGTGCCGTCCTCAACGTCATTCCGTCTTTGAACCAGGTGATGGTGGGTTCCGGTTCACCGGAAGCGTGACAGTTGAGAGTGGCAGGTTCGTGTCGGGCCACTGTCGTGTCTACTGGGTGTTCGGTGATTCGGGGTGGTTGTTGGCTGGTGTGGTGGTAGGCTGGAATGAAAGAAAAATGGTTAGTTTCTCTGTAATTAGGAGGATTAGGTTAAGCACGTCATAAGCTGCGAGATCAGCTAACTAATCGGCTGCTGGACCTGATAGCCGATGATATTTCAGACGGAAGGGTCGTCCATGCAGGATTAGGGCCGCAGTCTATTTTCTCGACTTAGGAATCTAATCTAGACGGCGACAATTTACGCCAAAGATGGGGAAAAAAGGGAGGAAGCGGGGTAATTAGGAGTGTCAAGTGACGCAAAGAGGGGTTGTAAAAAATTCTAAACTGGAATTTTTAATTTAAAAACGTTTGATAAAAATCCAGAAATGGGTTCAAGAAATACAATATATTTGATTAGTAGTTTCATTTTTATTTAGTAAAGTGTCTTTTAGATTGTAAAAAATAATGTTTGGATTACTTTGGCTTGAACTAATTTTGCTACTTTCAGATTTGTTTTAGCAAAATAGATATAAGTATCAAATTTTGCAACTTTTGCAACATTGAAAATAACCCACTTTAAAATATTTAAGTAAAAAACATCTTTCTGGCCTAAAAATCTGGAAAAGAAATTAGAAAAACTCAAGTTTAGTGAAAAACTTTACTTGACCTGACTTGACTGAGAAATAAGATAAACCAATTATTCAAAATTTCGTTTGCACACAATAATTATCTGTTTACTCTTTTAAGAATTTGTAACAATTTGTGTCAACTTGGACTTTTTTAATTTTAAATCATCCTTTAATAGTTTCAAGCGTTTTCTAAAAGTTTCGTTGAGTTAGTCATTTAGTATTCTTTAATTATGTTTATATGTGATTTGTTTTCTATTATAATTTTATCATTACTTAATGTAAAGGATATTACCGTTAAATAAAGTTATTATTATTAGTTAGAGTAAACACTCCTAAATAACACATTTTTCATATAAATTTTCTTTAAAAAAGCGTGCTAAATCAGTTAAAACTTCGGAATTAGTTTTGCTATTTTCTGTCTGTCAAAATACATAAAATTTTGTGACTTCTGCAATAAAGAAACTCTATTTAATTCATTGAAAATAACCCACATTAGAATATTTAAGTAAAAAACATTTTTCTGGCTTAAAAACCTGGAAAAGAAATTAGAAAAACTCAAGTTTAGTGAAAAACCTTACTTGACCTGACTTGACTAAGAAATAAGATAACTTAGTCACTTATTTCTTGTTTTTAAAAGAAATAAATAACTATTGAAGTAAAAAAACTCATTCTAACTTAAAAACCTAGAAAAAAAAGTTAGAAAAATGCAAGTTTAGTGGAGAAATCTAAAAAAAACAATTAAAAACTCAGCTAGCTGCATCACCAGTTAGGAATCTAATCTAGATGGCGACAATTTACGTCAAAAATGGGGAAAAAAGGGAGGAAGCGGGGTAATTAGGAGTGTCAAGTGACGCAAAGAGGGGTTGTAAAAAAATTCAAAACTGAATTTTTTAATTTAAAAACGCATACTTCCATAATGCAAAAATCAAAAAATACAATCTGAAATACAATAAATTTGATTAAGAGTTTTATTTTTATTTAGTAAAGTGTCTTTTAAATAGTAGAAAATAATGTTTGGGTCACTTCGAGTAGCTTCAGGTCGGTTCAGGTCACTTTAGGCCACTTCGGGTTACTTTGGATTACTTTGGCTTGAAGTAAAAAGAAAGTGTGTGACTTTTTGATTTTCAAAAGAAGAAAAATTCTTAAGGAAATGTTTAAATTTAGTAGTAAAAATGCCAATCGAGACGTTTCAAAACATCGTGCTACAAAAGGCAGTTGGGGAGACTAAGAAAGTGTCAGATGTCCCGGATTAAAAAATTTCTAGACTTGCAAAAAAACATTTAAAAATTTCTTAAAGCAATGCTTAAATTTAAAAAAATGACCACTTGAATTCTTTTGACATTGTCTAAAATTAATAAGTAAAATATTATTGGGTGTCCCAATGAAAACGAGCCACCCCAGAAACTAAAAAAACTTTGCAAAAACACCGAAACAGGTCAATTTTGTTTCCAAGGGGGACATTTTTTGACGTAATTTTTAACCCTTTAACCTCTCTATCCCACTTAACTCTAAAATGTCAAATAGCACTAACCACTAGTGATGCAAAAAATGAAAAATGTTCTTTAAAAGCTTTTTCCAAAATGAAATGATTTTTATACATTCATAAAATATCGGTAAAAAAATTAATCTTTCAGCAGTCAGTATGTACAAAGGATCTTAAGAACTATATTGCTATTTTTTAGGTACTTACATTAAATTATAAGAAACCTTATTACCCCCTGTCCTTTAGTACAATAAAATAAAGAAATAAAAATAAGTTTGTTACAGCTTCAATAATACTTATAACAATATTAGTAAGTTTCTTATAATTTATTTTAATAGTTTAGAAGTAATTACTAATTAAAAACATTATCTTTTGCGAATATTTTAAAAATAGATAATCCCATTCAACTTTAGAATAAAGGTTCAAAGAACATTTCAAAAACACTTTTATTTGATCTGTCGCAAATGATTGAAATTCCGAAATTGAGGTGGGAAAAGTTAAAGGATTAGTGGAGGTGCCAATTGTGTCAAAAAATCTCTGTCTTTTTTAAAAACAAAATTAACCTGTTTCGTTTTTTTGCAAATTCTTTCTGGTTTGTTTTTATTAGAACACCCTGTATCTCATGAATGGATCTAATTCAATTTTGGTGGAAAGTTTTAAAAAGCTTGTTAAAATAGCATTCATTTGATGTGCCACAAGTAGGGTAGTGCTATTTAAATTTTTAAAGTTGGGGTGTGTGGGGGTTAAAAAGTTACTGGGGATGATTTAAAAATTACGTCAAAAAATGTCCCCCTCGGAAACAAAATTGATTTGTTTTGGTGTTTTTGCAAAGTCTTTTTAGTCTCTGAGATATTCGTTGTAGCTTTTCATTGGGACACCTTGTATATGTTTTTGTTTGTAAACGTAGAAAGTTTTAACAGACCTGAAAAGCACAAATAAACTTAGTCAAAAAACCTAAAAAATATACTAACTCAGAATTTAAAAAAATGGAAACTGCGATCGTATTCGATCTGAATAAAACGAAATCACTAAACTAAACAAGATAATAAGTTTAGTCAAAAACCAAAAAACTAAAACATTTTTTAATCAATAAATCTAATGAAACCCCAATAAACTCATTTTTGAGACTTCTACATTTAAAAAAACTTAAAAAGTTCAAGAAACAACTCTAAAATGAAAAATCCACATTAAATTTAACCTGATTGAGAAATAAGATAAATTTATTAATTAGTAACGCAATTTTTGTGTACAAAAATAAAAGAACAAACAAAAAAACGCTAAACGAAACAAACAAACTCTAAACATGAAAAATTGAAATAAATTTAAAATTGAAAAAAATCTGAAAAGCATAAATAATGTTATCTAAAAAATCTGAAGAAGATTATCGGCCTAAATTAAGAGCTGAAAGACGGCATTGTATTCGAATTGAATAACCTGAAAACTAAAAATTAAACGAGATAAAAATTTTAACGACATCTGATAAAGGAAAATTTGAACCAAAAAAATTAATAAACGGAGAAAATCTTAAAAATATGAAACTAAACTTGAGAACTTGAAACACGTTTTTTTAACGGAAAAACCTGAAATCTTCCAATTACATTGCATTGTAAAACTTAAAAATTCGTGTTTGACTTTCTAAACTTCGGACTGAAAAATCTGTAAAACGCAAACCAAATATAAATCCTGAATAATACTTAGCTTTCATTTGAAATAACACTCTCAAAATACAGATCAATAGCAAAAATCTGAAATGTACAAAACATGAAATTTAAAATGTTCGCGACTTGTTATTATGCTCTTTATTAAAATTGAAGATACGAGAGATTTCTGATTTTTTTCTTCTAATTGGGAGTAAGTAAGTAAATAAAAACCGTGAAACACTCAATACAAATTCTATGACGAAGCGGAAAGCCAAAACACGAGCAAATCAAAATCGTGGAAACTCAGTCGAATCTATGGTTATTTCTTGTATTAGATTTGCGCTCAGTAGATTGAATCTCGTCTGAAATCGCCGAAAAAGAATGAATATTTGGAACGGACATTCATTTTATCGTTCGTAGATATCAGTAATGCAATCTGCAACGAAATGGACTTGTTTACAACTGGTTCATGGATCAAAAGACTGTTACTGACATGTTACTCTAAATCAAATAACGTTTGAATTGTGTTTTCCAAAACGTCACGTATTTTCATTGAAAAATGGCAAAAAGAGCTGGCGTCGCAATGCAGAATTAACGTCGCCCTCGAGACTTGCACTTAAACACATTTGATAAATTCAAATTTAATCTCGTCTCTCGACGTCGAAATGAATAACAAATGAACAAAGCGACGACCACGGAAGAGTTATTTCTTACATAAATCCAACTTTAGGTTCGATTAACAAGCGAAATATTTTCAGACAGTAAATCACAAAAGCCGAACCGATTATTGGAATGTCCACGAGCTATGACAAATGTCTTCCAGATATTGGTCGAGGTGATTGAGAAATAAACACTAGATGGGAAAGAACAGCCCTCGCACTTTCGGGGAGATGTATCATCTCCTAACGACATTTTTCTTGTATTAGAAACTAATAAAAACCGGTGTTTCTCACCCGGAAAGAAGAAAGTTATTTTATTGCGAAGCGAAAGTATTGTTTTATCAATTTTCGCAAAAAGGAGACATTTTTCACCACTTTAGTGGAAAAACAAGGGTTGGGTTCGCAAAAAGCTTCTTATTTATTGCCAAAATTTGCCCCCTTACGATTCCGATTTAAGTCCTCAACTTTTCTTGACCAGATTATCATCTTTCCACCCCCGATACAAAGTAACAGATATTGTATCTGTCGCAATGTCGGTATCTACGGTTGTTTCCGAAGCAATAAACAGCTGGAGGGCTGTTAGTGCCCCAATGTTTCATGGCGTCTCGGCGCCAAGGACTCTCAACGACGCCCGACTTGCCAGACTGTATA